ACGAGTAAGTAGTTGAAAGTTCCAAAGTAGAAAGATAGCTTATTGATTGTCGATACACTGCTAATGAACAAGATTCAGGACACGAAATTAGAAAAGATATGTTTTATATTGCAATTTCTCTTCCAAACTAATTTCATATTTATGTTTTATAAATAACACAAATTCTGTTAATCATGTTAATTACATATTTAAGAGATAGGTTTTCTCCACCTCACCACATTCAAACATCTGCACACTCTTAATCTTCTTCTATATCTATGTATATATATATATAAAAGAAAGTCGTGTTAGTTACACTATTTATAACTCAAGAACGACTTTACCGATATGGCTGAAAATTGGTGAGGAGGTAGCTTACAGCCAGGAGACGGACATAGGATATTATTTATTCATTTTTTAAATTTATGCCTTAAAGAGCGGGTTTTATTTAACTTCCTAATATTATAAATGCGAATGTTAAGATGGATGTAATGTGGATGGATGGATGGATGGGCTACACTAATTAATTTTTTTTATACATCCACGCGGACGGAGTCGCGGGCGATTGCTATTTTTTCATAATTTACATATTACGGATACTTTTAATTACAATAATGTATTAATATTCTTAGGATACGACAGTGGAATACAAGCCTATAAGGAGTGTGCTGGTGGCGAATCGCGGTGAGATAGCGATCCGCGTCTTCCGAGCATGTACGGAGTTAGGCATTCGATCCGTCGCTATATACAGCGAGCAAGATCGGTTGCAGATGCACAGGTACGTTGAACATTTACCGTAGGTTTCTGAAGCCAAAATATCTGTATAAAACATTGTCATCCCTGTTATTTTCTCTAACAAAACAGACAAAATTTTTTAAATGGGGATTATGGTCTCAGAAACTTACGGTTAACGATCTCTTTATCGTTATACACGTCGTCACCGAAGGACTCAAAACTATTCTAAGTTAAAAATCAACTTCTTTAGGTTCTAGTCAACTACGCTTGACCAGTCCGGATTGGTTGGAATTCGACGATTTTTTTAAAATAGTCATTCTGTCTGTCCTTTAAATCTGACATTGTATTCTTAACTTAATAAGGCATGAATTTTTATTTATTTGACCGTTTTCACTACTGACATGCTTCTACAAAAACATTGTTGTCTCTGTTTCTTTTCAAGGAATGAACGGGATAGGTATATGTTTGTGGACACATAGAATATCAAATTCATTTGTCATACCGGTAAACCGGTTTAAAAAAACAAAGTTTTGTTAACATTATTATTTGACACATCCGTCCTTCAGAGTTGTACGATCTTCTTTTTGTTATTGTTTTTTTTAGTTTATCTTAAGTCTTATTTTGCATTTAAATGGTTGTTAATTCTGTCTGTATTTAATATTGAAGTACATTGTGTGTTGTTTTTTTAAATAAAGAATATTTAAGTCACCTTAGCTATGATATATTTTATACAATGGTCGATTAATAAATAAATTTTATTGCTGGACTTACTGATATTTGGCTGATAGCGATATGTGCTAAAGCGGAAGAATGCAGGCGTAATTTAATTCCAGTTTTCCTTCCCATCTTTCTCTATTAAGAAAGCGTGGAAAGGAGAAAGGGATTTGGCAGAGAAGAAATATTGTGGTTCCTTAGACTCTTGCTTATCAAGGTTTGACTCTATGTGTCTCTGTAAAATATTATATTTCTTCTGCATCTTCTCGGAATAATATTTTTTTTATTAAAACAATTGTTTTTCGACCATGATTATAATCAACTTTATTTTTCTATGATAGACAAAAAGCCGACGAGTCATACTTAGTTGGTAAAGGTCTTCCACCCGTCGAGGCTTATCTGAACATCCCGGAGATTATCCGTGTGGCCAAGGAGAATGACGTCGACGCGGTACATCCTGGATATGGTCTTCTTTCAGAAAGGTAAGAAAAGAAAGATAATACCTCTCAAAAAAGTAATGTGTAAGAAAAATATACGAAAGATTTTTTCCTTTACCTCAAGCAAGTCTGATAAGTGTACATACCGTAGTGTATAAATCTGAATTTGAAAAAATGGTACATGGCGGGATTCGAACCCAGGTTGTGTAAATTACAAGTCAAGTGCTTAACCCTTGCGCCACCGACCTTCTTATTTGAATTCTGAAGATAAGAATATTGCCATCTATTAATTAGTAAACTGTGATCAAGTTTGACAGGTTTTTTTTAATTAAAAACGCAATATAATGTTACAGGTCAGATTTCGCACATGCCATCATTGACGCGGGGCTGCGATTCATCGGTCCTTCCCCGAAGGTGGTACAACAAATGGGTGACAAGGTCGCCGCGAGGAAAGCCGCCATCGAAGCTAGTATGTCATTAATCTCTGGAAAATAAAATAATATAATAAATAGTCTTTATCTTTCAGGAATAATGTATCTTTTTAATGGCGAATGATTGAAATCAATCTAATAGTTTTTGAGTTTTTCAGTTACAAACATATAAGTTTTTTCCAT